ACCCTCTAAGTCTGCGTAGACATCTTCTTGATGCACTCTTCTTCATTCAGGTTTATTGTGGCCTTAAATCCTACTCCTCCCTTCTGGATAATGCTAATCTTCGTGTTCCTACTTGCCATGTTCGAGACTTCTCTACTTTTAGCTTTCGTCCCTCAAAAAGACACTGTCCCTCTTCTCGGTGCGCCCTTGTTACCAACGTGGTGGATAAGGATCTCGCCATATTTGCAGACGGAGCGGTTTCTCTGAATCATATTTTACAAGCATGTACCAAACCTTTTACGGTGTTAATTGATTAGTGTTTTCATTACCTACAACTGTATATACCTCGGATAACTTTAATTTTCTTATGTAATTGGTTTTAATTTATTGACTTGTTATTAATTTTATGTTATCACTCCCAGATGTCTTATCTTAGTATTTAGTTACTAACAGTATTAGAAACACTCGTAATATTTCATAAATATATGTATATATTTCAGTCTTCTTTAGATTTATGTTCACAGATTTATTTGTCATATTTGTATTTTGTTTTATAATTTTCTGTACCTTATATACTCGTGCTAACTTTGTAATTGGCCACTGTGCTGTTAAGTTATTGCACGTAAATAAACATGAATTGAATTGAATTTTTATTATTATTCGTGTTTAATTTTATTTTAAGTTTATCAATTCTCGTTTATATTTTTCCTGATTTCCTACATAAATTATGGATTTAGTTTTGCTTTGACCTCTTCTTTTGTAAGGGAAGGATGGAATGTCTCACACTAAGAGAATAATATTAATCAAAGTCAAAGTCACACTGCGACTGACGGTCGGTCAGACAGTCAGTCAGTGAGTCTTGGTGTCGAGCCCCATCTGGGGCTCATGACCAGATATTTGTTACTGTTTGACAGTTACCGTTTTTTATGGAGCGCCCTCTCTGACAAGAGAAAGGGTCTGCCATTTGTATATGCTGCTGGCACACGTCAGCACAGTCTTTCTCGGGGCCGAGTCCCAAGGGTTTCGCGATCATAATTTCTTCTCTTAGATTTAAAACTTCCTTTTTCGTCGCCTCTTACGACTAGCAGGGTCACGGTGGAGATATTCGACCCCGCCTCCACTGGGGTTAATGACATTAAATTGAAGACACATTAATTAATTTTCAATCGTCCTGAATTTTAATTTAAAAATTTTAAAAATAAAAATCACGACGTATAATATCCAGAAAAATAATAAATATATTAATATACAATCGTTACGAAATTTTAGATCTTACTTCTATCGGGACCGGTCACGGTAGCCTAGCGGTCTAAGGCATGTACTGTCTTCGCTCGCTTGGAAACCGGGATCGTGGTTTCGAATCCTACTCAGGGCATGGATGTTTAGATTGTGTGTGTGCGTTTTTCTGTGTTTGTGTACAGGTAGAGGCCCAAGGAGTCCTACCGAATGTGTAAGATCTAGAAAAACCGAAGTGAACGGATAAGTTCATGGAGGTAGGCCTAGGCCCACTGGGGCTGTAGTGCCAAGGGGGAAAAAAAAAACTTCTATGGGAATCTTATAGAACGAGGTGCTGAAGGAAATATTCGGACATAAGCAGGGTGCAGTGGAAGCAGAAAAAGCACCCAAAAATCCTACCATAAATCTATATAATTAGAGCAATGTTAATGTTTCCTTTTAGTGATGAACTGGAAAAATACTTTAGCACAGCGCGTTTCATATCGTCGTTTAATTGTGCTTGACCTCGGCTTCTTCTCCATTCAATTTGCCTGAGTGTTCTGCACTGAACACAAGGGGGGTTGGGCGCGGGTGGAAGGGACGCAGCCTTGATGACGAAGGGGACAAACAATGGCTTGTTATCACGAACTGCAATTACCGACTGATTACTTGATTAAATTGATTGCTTCACTTTGCCTCTTGATGAAGTGAGCAGAGCATTTGCGCATAGAGCACTCAGATCTACGTCAGGGGTAGAGAATCCATGTTCCTTGGCTTTAGGGCAGCCTTTGTAACCCATTTGTGGCCTAATTTCCTTATTCATAACTTGTACTCTTCACCATACATAATTAGAATGATGACGTCAAGGAGAATGAGATGGACGGGACATGCAGCATGCATGAGTAAGAAGAGGAATGCATATAGAATTTCTGTGGGAAAACCAGACGGAAAGAGACCACTAGCAAGACCTAGACATATGTGGGTGTATAATATTGGATCTTAGAGGAATAGGATGGGGTGGTATGAACTGGATTGATCTGGCTCAGGATAGGAATCAGTGGCGGTACCTTGGGAACCCTGTAATGGACTTTAGGGCTCCATAGAATTTTGGGAAATTCCTGAGTAGCTGAGCAACTGGCGGCTTCTCAAGAAGGGCTCAGCTTCAGTCCACGCTCAGGTCTCTAAAGTCGTTCCTTTAAATCTCATAATTTCGCTTGAATTGTGCATTCTTATTGCCACATGCGTTCATGAACTGCCTAACTCATCACTAGAACAAGTTCAGCACATTGTATTTGGAATGCACAGGGCAAGAATTGCTGAGTCGGCATAGCGACAGGCCAAGGTTCGATTCCTGGTTGAGGCAAAAGAAATTTCTCTACTGCACAGAGTCCAGACCGAAAATGGGCCCTACCCAATGAGTACCAAGGGATCTCTCCCGGGAGAAAACGCCTGAGACGTGGAGCTGACCACTCACCTCCATCTAGTGGACAGGTCAAGAATGGTGGAGCTATACCTCCACCCTCCCATACGTCTTCATGGATTAATTAATTAAGCCCAGGGGCAAATTTACCTTTACTCTTCCACTGGGGCACGCGGTAGAATAGGTTGATGAGACACTATGCTACAAGCCGGAAGGTCGCGGGTTCGATTCTCGCTGAATTCAATGGAATTTTTGATTTACCTAATCCTTCCAGCCGCACTATGGCCCTGGAGTCGACTCAGCGTCTAACAGAAATGAGTACCATGAATCTTCCTGGGGGTAAAGGGCGGCCGGCGCGTAAGGCTGACAAACTCACCATCTATGAGCCGATTGTCTAGAAAATGTGGGAACCTCAGCATCTCAGAACCCTATGGGCCTCCACGGCTTGTTGCAGGATTAGATTTACCTTTCTTTAACCCTTATTTTCCATGAGGTTTCCATGGATTATCACAAGTTTCAGAGACAACTCTGTTAGAGGAGGGAAGATCTGTGTTGGGTTTGTTTGTACAAGCGTGAATATTGCATGACTCGGGCTAATCCGCAAGGAACTGAACTGCACTCGGATTTCCTCAGTGAATGTTCATCGAGTAGCCAGCACTTTACGTCATGACAGTAATTGCTATATCATTTTAATCTATGTTATTGCTACTCATCCAGATGTCCAAGGAGCCTGAACCTCATGCAATCTGTACCGATCAGCAACACGCAACACAGAACAGATGGCTACCAAGAGACAATATGAAACGATCAGTTCATTACGTACTTATATCGATTAGGTCATTAGATTTTTTCAATTTACCTGATCCAGCAGCACTGTGGCCCTGGAGCAGACTCAGCCTCTAACAGAAATGAGTACCAGCAAACTTCCTGGGATTACAGGGCGGCCGGCGCGTAAGGCTGACAATCTCACCGCCATCTATGAGCCGATTATCTAGAGAAAATGTTGGAGCTTCGACGGGCCGTTACAGGGGTAGCTTTATCTATTGGCTACTTCTCTCTTCGTAGTAAATTGCTTATTTCACATATAAATTTCCTAAGTGGATCACCTGAGAGACACGTAAGAATTATCCACATTTGGCTCTGAGACTCATTACAGCTGTGGCATCGGCTCTTGCACTACAAAGTAAATTGATTTTTTTCTGTGCTTAATTAATTAACACGACGTGAAGTTTATGCGCGATATGGATGATGCACATATAGTTAATTACATTATTTAAACTCAGGACTAAAGGGCTCATCTAAGGCCATGCCATAGCTCAAGCGGTTAGTCGCTGGCTTCCCACCGCGGCGGCCCGTGTTCGATCCCGGGTCTGGTTAAGTGGGATTTGTGGTAGACAAAATGGAGCTGGGGCAGGTTTTCTGCGAGCACTTCGGTTTCCCCTGCCAATCCTCATTCCACCAATTGCTCCACAATCACACTCACCCATCATCTGAGACTGGTACAATAGGCCAGAAGTGACCGCAGTACAAGGGACTTAGTCCCACCCCACTAGCTCATCTTCAGGTTTCGGCTGTTTTACCACCGGAGAATGAATTTGTAGGAAGTTGGGTGGATCTCGGAGCCGGTCTGGATGTTGTGGAGAAAAGCCTCTTGCCCCCTGCTGGGAATCGAACACAGTCCCGCAGCTCGTCGCTATACCGACTGAGCTATCCTGAATCTCGTCTCTGAGGACAGTGAAATAGGTCTCTGCGTCATAATCAGAATGTCAGCAAGTTACATTTCCACGCCTGCTATTGTTGATAAAGCCGTCATACGGGAGATCGCACTAAACACACGTAACTTTTCATTTCACGGCTGCCAACTCTCTGTATGACGTACACTAGAAGATGCACGAGACGGGCAATAGGAATTCGGCCTGGTGAAGAAAGCAGTGGTTAAATTGCAGGTCTTCTTTATTCTTAAATAAATCAAGAACGCACCGAAATCGTGGGAACAAAGAAGAAAAATAAATTTATCTCCTTGAATTTTTATTAAATTAGCACACAGCCATGAAGGCGTGTGGTGGAGTGGAGGTATACTTTCACCGCTCTTAAACTAGGGCACTAAATGGAGGTGAGTGGTCAGCTTTAGCCCCGAGGAAACAGATTCTGGTGCCCTTTGGACAGGAAGTTGGGTTGAGAGCTAGAGTCGGTCTGGAAGTTGTGAAAAAGAGAAAAATGTCTTTTCCTTACAGGGAATCGAACCCCCAACCCTGGGCCTTCCTGTCCGTAGCCTATTCGCTTCATCGACTGAGCTGTCTCAGAATGTTTGCCAGAATTCAGTTCAACATCCTTTCCCTTCCTGTCCGGCAGCTAACTAGTAACATATATGAAATGATATTTTTACCTGTTGGTTTGTATGGATGTGGAGTTCAGTGTCCTATCCTACCGGAACAGCATAGGCCCAAGTTCTGGATGTTGAGGAGAATTTCTGCATCTAAAAGAGAGAGAGAAAGAATAATAGGAAGGTGAACAAATTATGTATTGGCGATTTTCATAACCTGAAGGTAATTTTTCGTGTATATCGTCATGAGCATAATTTGTACCTCGTAGGGCTCAGCTAGACCAAGGCTTAGGTGGTGGACAATATTAAAATGGATCTTAGAGAGATAGGATATGATGGTACGGATTTGATTGATCTGGCTCAGGATATGGAGCAGTGGAAGGCTCTTGTGAACACGGTGAATAACCTTCGGGTTCCAAAAATGCTGGGAAATTCTTGAGTAGCTGCAGAATTGGCGGCTACTCAAGAAGAGCTCAGCTCCACGAATGAGTGAGTAAGTAAGGGGCTCAGCTTAAATTACTCAAAATTCGATCGTAGCATTCAATTTAGAACAAAAGCACAAAATATATATTTCAAATAGCTTTCTTAAATAATGACTTTCTTCATGAAAATTACGACAGATGACGAGAGAGAGACTACTGTTGGCAGATCTACCTAACGGTAGAATTAGTACTACACGCAACCAGCCCGTAGGCACTCACAATTTCACGCAGCACAATTATAATTTTTTTTTCATCTAAAAAAATATTACTTTACAATTTCCTTATTTAAAAGTAATTTTTAGAACATTTTGAAAAAAGTTACAAGTCAATGATGTGGTCGTCATTTCAAAATTGACAAAATATAATATAATGGAATATTCTGTTGTATTTTACATACTTCGTAAAACCTATTACAAGAATTATCTGTACCCTTCTCCTCACTCACCCTCCATTTTCTTGGCTCTAAGTAACGTCTCTATTTTTACCACGCCACACACAACTCAGCTTCCCACACCCAGAACCCAGTACATAAACTGATATCCAAGCCAATATTGATTCGCAAAGTTAATCTGTCCCAGCTGGTGAAGTGGGCCCTACAAGTTCCACAGTAGCCATAAGTTACGCCCTCCGGAATCATATTTTTATTCTGTCGATAAAAACGTACTCACTCCATCCGTCCGTCCTTCCGTTTTCCTGCCTTCGCTTGAATCTCAATTTAATAGAAATTTGTTCATCAATTCACGAGGGAGAACCTAATGATGGGAAACTTGTCCAATATCCGTGTCTCTAATTTACCATCCGTGCCCACACATTTTTATAACTTGCCCGGTTATTGGATCGTCATGTTCTATATATGGCACGGGGGGTGAGGCCACGGAAGGGGGAGCAATCCTTCATAATGTGATTTAGTATGGAAACATCAACCCTCTCTGTTCTCTCTAAGTTATAACCCCATCTCCCACCCCCAAAAAACCCATAATTGATAGTCTACAATGCATTTTGGAGAGAGAAAAGAAGTCGCTTCCCAAATAAGTTCTTTTTTTTTACGCTCGAAGAGCAAAATATTCCGTAAGATTGAAAAATAGAGTTTTTATGTTACGATAAAGCTGAAGTTATTAACTCCCACACTCTGCGCACGCTTTATTAAAAATTGTACATTCCATATTATATGTATCTCCACAGCGCAAATGACTTGCGTGGAACTTCTGAAATAGCGTCATTCTAAAAGCTGTGACTTCTGGCAAGAATATTCGTAAATATAACGTAAATGGAATTATCTGCGCTTGCGCTCAGTCTGAGGTAGTGACGTCAGTGATAATGACGTGTAGTTGCTTTCCTGCTTAGATGTGACGTCATGTAAACCCGTATAAATTCGCAGACGTTTCGGAGAAAAGTACTGCCTCCAAATTCAGGAACGAATAATAAGAAACCAACAATAAGGCAGGAGAAATCATCTCCGACGTTTCGAAACAAAATATTTCCTTGATCTTCGGTGTTGAAGGGAAATTTAAGCAAACAAACAACTCTGTCTGTTGTTTTCCTTCGTGCTGGTTGTTTTTTGGCTTACACTTCGACAGGAAAAAATGAAAGCACTAGGTTGCTCTGTTCCACCAGACTACACGGCGTCACGTCCCCAAAAGATAGTACTCCCCATAATCATCCTTCTAAGAATCTCAGAATCAAATTGCCTGTTTTTGAAGATACGGATACACGCCATGGCGACATGAGGGAGTAGACGTATAGCTCCACCATTCTTGACCTCTGCACTGGATGGAGGTGTAGTGTCAGATTCACGTCTCGGCCGCTTTATCCTCGGGGAAACATCCCTCGGTACCTAATATACAGGAGACTGGGTGGGCCCCAGAGACAGTCTGAACGCTGGGGGGTAAAGAAAATCTCTTTTACTTTCCGGGAATTAAACCCCCCTGTCCAACTATGACTATACCGACTGAGGCATTCAGGCTCCTATAAAAATCGGTGTTTAGATGTAAAGGTGATTTTATTTTGATATTTAACTTAATAACCTTCGTCGAATAAATTATTTTATCTGTATATTTTGGTTGCAACTTAGGTCCTGTAGTGTTTATTGCTTGAAAGGCTCAAATGAAGTACTTCAGGTCTTGGGTGAAAGCAATAGGAAATTCTTTTAAATTATTTTACATAAGAGTCAAACGAGGGAAGAAAGGTTCGGTTTAATGCACTGGTAGTACTGACGGTGCTGCAAGGTCATTGAGCCTAATTTATTTGCAAAATACGCAAAGTAAATAGGACACAAATTGACATAAAACTTAAAACATTAGATATTCGAATCTCAAAGAAATGTATTTCTCGACATATCGTCCACCAATATCGATACACTTGTCCCATCGCTTTATCCGTGCGTCTGAACCCGCAGCATAAAAGTCTTTTGACTGTTAACTTAGCCATTTTTCGCACCTAAGTTTCAAATTTTCGTCCTCAGCGAAACCTTTGCCAACCAGTCATGAACCGCTTAACGCGACAAACACTTCCAACCGTAAACAGGAAACATTTCTTTACGAATATCCTTTGCACTGAGTCCTTTTGCCGAGAAAAAACGCTGCTCTTTGGTAGTGTACTCCTCAAACACGGTATCCATTTTGACTACTGAAATCAGCCCCTGAACCTGAGCATGGTAGTCTGATACTTAGTCTGTCATAAAGCAGGACTGTGCTGCTACCTAGTGATACATATAGAAAACCTATTACGTCCATTATAGCTGTTTTACTTCCATTTGTGATATATTTGCTAACTCTCCCTCGTAATACAGAGACTTCCAGAAGAGAACTACAATTTCATTACAAAGCTCTACTGACTAATTAGTATAGCAGACCATACACGACGCCATTTTAACAAGTGGAGTTGTATCTCCTGGGATATAACGCTGTTTGACTTCCAGCGGTCTAAACGACTTTATATCCCTGAAGATAAAACATTTCATAACCACTGCTGCGAGATCCTCAGGTCATACAAAGGAATTTCTTCTGCCTAAATAAAATTCTTTTCTTGTGGTTAAGAAATAGACAACTTTCTAGCAGTTTCTATGTGTCAGATGACAGAATAACATACATGTATCTACTTCCCGGACGGAATTAATTTCAGATCGTCAAGTTCTGCAATTACGAAGTCAATATTTATGATGATTTATGACGACGATTGCGATCGGTATCAAAGACTTCTCAATTTTAATTAGAAACACAATGTTATTTTCCACTGACGCCATTAAAATTACCGTGAACATATGTATTAGGGACCATATCTTGGGATTAGAAACGACTGCTTATACGCTAGCGCCTACTGGTGGCCAAGTACAGAACTCATGGTGGTTGGCAATACGAAGGCGTCACATAATTTGAATACAATGGCGGTACGAGAGCAAACAGTCAATGCAGACCAATAGGAAACAGGGATCAATGTATGCTTGATGGCACAGCGAACAATAGAAAGTGCATGACTGGGCACATTGAGAGGTTGGGCCCTACTATTGTCCAACGAATGAACGAGCAGAGTTGGCCACGGAAATACAATCTACGCTTTGAGGAAGTGTGGAAGAAGGTTGGATTTTGTTGTTTTCCTTTTATTATAGACGGCCTTCTTTATAATCATAAGGCAGGGCTAATTGGCATAAGATGAGAACTGTAATCGGTCAAAATTACCGCTTCTATTTCTCGTACCAATGGCAGCGAGTGTGTTTTCAATTAACTCCTTGCCCAGTGCTGTATCCTGTCGAATTGTTTGAGGCGTCTTGCTGTTCGCATTGTCTGTGTGAATGTAAGTACGTGATGAGGCTGTCCGAACATGTCTGTTACAGTGAACATTTCTCTTACGAGGAAATGCAATTCTGCGACGCGAAATGGGCAAACGGACCTTCGCAACGCCTGACAAAAACCGGCCAGAGTTCGTACGAAACCTGAGATAATAGTTCTGAAGAGAATAAGTTAACGTGCACCCAAGAGAGAGGACAGTATCCGGAAAGGTGCTGTGTTTGAATAGAGGGCGGGACACAGGATATAACTACAGAGTTTTCCTCAGACACTCCAGAGAAATTTCAGGATCGTATCTCGAGTATGGTAAGGTGGTTTCCTTCCAGAACCATTCAAAATTCATCGTCCTACCAACAAAAAAAAAAAATAGGAAGCTGGAGAAAATTACACAATTTCTATCTATTTATGGCACCACATTCCTTTTTTTGGACCTTGGCCTCTTTTTTCTCAGTTTCTTAACCTATAAATAGAAGGTAGAACTTATTGGACGCGGGATCAGCCCGTCGCAAGGCCGCCACCTACACACAGAACAACACAAACACAGAATAAATGCACAAAGACATCCATTCCCTGAGTAGGATTCGAACCCACGATCCCAGCGTTCGAGCGAGCGAAGGCAATTCATACCTTAGACCGCGAGGCCACTCTGCTCGGCAAAATTACATAGTTACAAGTTCCAAACTGGGGAGTAAAGCGCGGCCGGAGCGTAAAGCTGACAACCTTACCGACATCTTTGAGCCGATTGTCTAGATAATGTGGGACCCTCAGCGTCTCACAAACCTAAGGGCCTTCACGGCCTGGTACAGAGATAGCTTTACTTTTTACTTTTACGAGTTCCAAAATGTTGTTAGAGTAATCAGCCGAGCGAGTATGAATTGGTAAGGACAGA